TTTCCAGAAGGCTAAAAATGTTTTTTTTATTGGTCTTATTAAGTATTCTAATTTGTTGAGATAGTGAATTGGTGGGTTTTTGTTAAATGTGAGCCAAAATCATCACAATTAAAAGAACCAAAGACTTAAACTACTTCAGTCTGTCTGCATTGAATTTATTTAATAGACGAGTTTCACAATTTGAGTTGAATTACTGAAATAAATGAACTTTTCCACGACATTCTAATTTGAGATGCACCTGTATTATCTTTATTTTCTTCTTTGTATGTACGTAGTACAAATTAGTGTGTTTATTAGTATATTAAAACATTTTAAATAGGCTAATTCGAATACAAATACTAGTTTAAAACATCCAGCAGCACAGTGAACTGTTTTGCACAGTTAAATAGGCTAAATGGAGATTGCTGACATCGCCTCACACACTCAAGTTCACACCAGCTCTTACATTAAAAATAAGATGGAAAGATAAAAAAAAATTTAGAGTTTCCATTGATCTAGTCTTTGCATCTGTTTGTTTGATGTTCGAATCAGGTCTCCTCTGTTGGAATAGATCTGGCTAGATGGCGCTGTCACAAAAAATAGGGTCCTAGTAGAAGCTGAAACTGCAGCCTATGGTATTGCAGGAACACAGGATTGGGGTTGTTTTTGTTCAGATCAATGTGAAAATCGACCCATGTTTTTACCCTGCAAACATGCAGAGCTGTAAATATGAACTGGTGGATCGATAAGAAGATAATGTTATTTAATTAATATAATAATTTATTGATAATAATAATTTTAAATTAATATAATAATTAATACTTTTGACTTTGTTTTTCTGAAAACTTGTATCTGAACTCTAAATCACGCTTTTTACAGTAATTTTACAGTTTAATATGTTACTATAGACATTGCCCTACCCTGCTCATATGGTATTAATTTTATTAGTGCAGGTCCTAAAAAAGGTCTTAGAAAGTCTTAAATTTGAGCTTAAAAATCCCGCAGAAACCCTCACGTTCACGCCTCAATTCTTGACAGAGGGTGATTCTATATTATATTAATGTTCCAATAAATTAATCTGAAGAGTTGAGCGCTCTCTCCCGTCCAAAGACTATAGAATACCCTAATATCTTACAGGGACTTTGTCCCGTCTCACTACCTCCACACAAAGTGGAGCAGAAATTTTTATTTAAATTTAAATTATTTAAAAAAATAAAAATAGCCATTTGACAAAACAAAAATGGCACCCTCTCCCTACAGCTTCCGATTTAACAAAGCAAATGAACAACAATTACAATACCTTGAAGAACTAAGTTAGAGTAGTCACACTACCTGCACAGTAGCAGCACAACACTGCTGGACAACAGGAATACACTATAACAATCAAAAGCGTTTTCGTGAAGAAATGTCCCAAGTTTGCATCACACTCAGCAAACTTCACAAACACTAACAAGTCTGGAGCAGGGGAGAAATGAACCTTCCTCCAAATCGTTTCTTCTGCTCTTTTGTAGGTTTTGCGTCTCTGCAGCACATTCTCTGACGAGCACCACCTGTGGGCAATTTGCTACTGCCAAGCAAGCAGATAAAGAGAAAGAGAGCGAGCACATACAGCACATACACAGGATAACAACCACACCCAAAGGGGCGGGAAAACACTTAAAAATAAATATTAATATAATACATATATCCTAGGGATGTAACAATATTATGATGTATAAAGTCATAGATATAGATTATATGTATATATTAATCCATATTAAATATGAAAAAGTTATTTAATCAAGAGCAGATTTGAGCAGAGTGATTTTTTTTTCTTTTGTTCTTTAACAGACAGCAGGTATACTAAAAGCTGCTGTCACTTTCATACCAAATGTTAATGTTAACAATGTTAATTAATTAGGCCTATTGGTTATTGTTAATTAATGTTAACAACAAAAGGCAAAATCACTCACTGCTCTTGACTGAATAACTTAACTTTAATTTTAAGAATTAATCTGTTGTTTAATTTACAGTGAATTTACTGTTTTTCATTTACAGTTTATTCCATTTCTGTACCTGAATGTTTACCACCAAAGCTGTTTCTAAAACTAAATTCAGGTCCTGAACCGCCTGATGTTGATTTCCATATCGGTTTTCGTGCGTACAGCAGCCCAGCTATTGTGCTTTTAATTAGACCACATGGGCACACACTCATGCATTTTATTTTTTTAATTGTTATTATTTTATTATCTTATTTTAATGTAATGATCTCCTGCAACTTGTGCCAGGGGATCTGAAAACCCCTTAACAAATAATTGCAGCCTGGTGAGATGCTTCCTGTGTGGCCAGTTTTAACTTTTGATGTCATCAGCGGCTGGAATGACTCAGTCCGTGTGAGTGATGGAGCTAATTTTTAAATTTTTCTATCAAACGCCAACACAGTTTATCAGTCTAATCTAATCTGCCAACAGACTCTTCTGTGTGATAGATCTCCTGACTCTGTCTCTTTCTGTGAAATTATGCAATGATTAATCTTTAGAGGATATCAGGGTGACAGGACAAAATTGTGCTGTTGAAAACAGTTATTCCAAAGCGTCTTTGAAGTGTGGATTCTTACCTTAATTATGTTTGCTGGGGTTTCATCTGTTTTTGATGGAAAATCACTGGCATTTTCTGGGTTATGGAAACTTTAAATTCTTGTTGGCGCAAGAATAAACTTACGATGGTGTGATTCAGTTTTTGCTTCACTGTTTCAAAAAATGTAATAATTTGAAACCAATATACGCAGCTTTTAAAGGGGTCATATGATGCTGCTAAAAAGAACATTATTTGGTGTATTTGGTGTAATGAAATGTGTTTATGCGGTTTAAAGTAGTAGGTATGTGGGGGCGTGTTCGAACGAGCCGTTTTAGGTAGGTGTGGCTGACTCTGAACTTTTATAAAGAATATCTCTTTGGATTTGAGACTTTAGTCTTTGCAACTTTACAGATCTTCTTTATGCACCAAGAGCTTGTAACACTCCAAAGAGAAAGGAAAAATTGAAATCGCATCATATGACCCCTTTAAATACTGCAATTTTGAATACATCCTATTTTCTTTAAATTACGTCCAAAAGTGACCATTTTGAAAATCTGTGTCAAAATCTATTGCAGACCTGCAAATCATGGAAATATTTTTTAGGATTTGGCTGTAAAGTACATAAGAAATATTTCATATATTTTTTATTTTGGTTTGTTTATTGCGTTTTTATTTTATTTTATGTGTTACCTTGTGGGTTGGATATAATATTGATATATAGCAGGGTCCACAATTCTTCGGAAAATGCTTCAATTTTGGATTTTTCATATTTTATTTGTATGTTTTTCAGTTCAACTTTTTACTGTATTTAATGCTGATAATATAAAATATTATGTAAATATACAGTATATAGTCTGCTGTATTTAGTTGAAAAGAACTACAGTTAAAAACAGTACTATTGTGAAATATTATCTCAATTTAAAATAACTGTTTTCTGTTTTAATATATTTTAAAATGTAATTTATTCCTGTGATCAAAGCTGCATTTTCATGATCATCACTCCAGTGTAGTGTCACATGATCCATCAGAAATCATTCTAATATGCTGATTTGTTGCTCAGGAAACATTTCTGATTATTATCAATGTTGAAAACAGTTGTGCTGCTTAGTAATTTAGTGGAATTCAGCATTCTTTTTGAATAGAAAGTTCAAAAGAGTAGCATCAATTTGAAATAAAAATATTTTGTAACATTATAAATGTCTTTTGCTGTCATTTTGATTATTTAACGTGTTCTTGCTGAATAAATGTTATGTGTGGTACAGATGATTTGTGTTCAGCTAACTCTTTTATAGAGGACAGTAGACAGCAGACGCCAGAAGCTCAGTTGGACCTAGTTGTTGTTAATTAATCTCAGGTGAACTACAGAAACACTCTTATATTCCTGAGAGTGTGCAGACACTGCGTCAGCTCAATAAAAGCAAACAAACTTTCTTCTGCCAGTGTGTTTCGGTCAGTGTGAAAGATGGGCTTCAGACACAGATGCTTGCAGTGATTTGGTGCTGGTATGTTCTACACTGACAGTAATGGGCAAATAAAAATGTCCAACATTGTAAGCGGGAGGTGAAGAGCTCTTTAGTGCCTCTGAGTGCTGGAGTTGTAAAAGATTATCTGCTGGTTTTATCTCCAATCCAATTCCACTCATTAGGGGAGAAAATTGAAGTGAAAAGAAGTTCAGATTTTCAGGTTTTAGATGGGTAGTTGAGTAGTGTGCGTATGCATTATTTGAATTTGGGGTTGGTAAGATTTTTTTTTAATGTTTTTGGAAGCCTCTTATGCTCACCAAGGCGCAATTTATTTGATAAAATTTTTTTTTATATTATATATACAATTGAATTTAAAATAAATGACTGTCATACATTTTACCATGATTTACAGAAGACATTCACTAAAATGTCATTCAGTGTAACAATAGTTTAAATACCAAAAAGTCTTGTCAGGCAGATTTTAAATCTTTGCCACTATCTTTCAAAGATGTAGATGAGTTTTACTCATTTGTCAGCAGGAAGTTTTAAATTATTTTAAATATAATACAATTTTTTGAATGATTTCTTATTCTTTTATATATTTTAATAAGTAAAGGTCAGAATGGGTATGTTGTTTAATTTCTACATAAATATATACGTTATGCTGAATGACGATGTAACATTATTCCACCCATATTTTCATATTTTATTTTCACAAAATTTATTTGAAACATTGAAGCTGGCACTTGCATTTAATATATTTCTGTGTATATAAAATCACTTTTGTAATCTTTTTGCAGACACCAAAATGGGACATCTTGTCTTTGACCCACATATATACTGTATATAGTTATAGTTTTGCTATTTTGTAAAAAATGCGGAAACGCTTCATGTTAAAATGGACTATTTTCACTCCAGGATTTCAGTATTCACAAACCTTTATTAAACTGCTACAGTTTTCATAGAAAACTGATATTTTAATCCATCTTGTCTCTCTGACAGGTCCTGTTACCAATGCCGCTATCATCCCAGCACCTGCCAACATGTTCCTTGCTGACAGTCATCCAGCCATCCCACTGCCACGGTTCAGTCGCCACCTGAACCCATCCGAGCAGGGTGACGGCACGAGCTCTGGAGGCATGTGTCTGAGACTGGGAGCCAACACACAGGTAACATCTGAAACATTGCTTACGTTTTAAAGGGCACATATCATGGAAAATAGGATAAGGTCCACTGAGACTATTTCTGAGATGTCAGAATTGCTCATTTAGAGCAGCGACTTGGCCTACCCTGAGAAATGCAAAAGGTCACATGCAAAAGTTTCGTCAAGACCAGAGGTCATTTACATATAGATGTCTTAAAAGATGTGGAAGCAAAAAACATTCTTATTTAAAGGGATAGTTCACCCAAAAAGGAAAATTACCCAATGATTTACTCACCCTCAAGCCATCCTAGGTATATATGACTAAGGTTTGTATTAAAAAATCTCCTGGCTCTTCCAAGCTTTATAATGCCAGTGAATAGTGGTCGAGATATTGAAGGCCGAAAAAGTGCATCCATCCATCCATCATAAAAAGTGAATCAATGCGTTTAAGAAAAATATCCATATTTAAAATTTTATAAACCATAATCTCTAGCTTTCTCTAATGCTAAGTTCACACTACACAACTTTAAACATCAGCAGATCGCTGTGCTATTCAGACTACATGACTTGATTGTGTCTTTAAAGGGGTCATATGATGCGATTTCAATTTTTCCTTTCTCTTTGGAGTGTTACAAGCTCTTGGTGCATAAAGAAGATCTGTAAAGTTGCAAAGACTAAAGTCTCAAATCCAAAGAGATATTCTTTATAAAAGTTAAGAGTCAGCCACACCTACCTAAAACGGCTCGTTCGAACACGCCCCCACATATCTAGGTCACTATGTGGGAAGATTTGCATAACACCGCCCAAATTTTCACGCCAAGACAGAAGGCATAACTTTTATTCTCGCTGTATTGTTGTTGCCGCCGCCATGTTGTGAAGACATTTCAAGGATTTGCCACTGATGATTCAAACGCGGGTTTTGGGCAGTGTGGATTAACGTTAGCACTTGTTGTTTGTCATTTCTCTTATCACAAATGCAGACAGGGTTTTATGTTTACGTGGCGCAATGCAACGCAACGCTTAAAACGACAGTATAAGTCATTATAATCAGTAATTATGTCCCCACTGGATGCAACAAATGCCTCGTTTGTAATGGGTTTTAATGTTTTTGTGCTCCGGCTGGGACACGCCATCACAGTATGTGAGGGGCGTAACATTTCCGTCTCACGCTTGAGGCTAAAATGCCGGCAGTTCTGACTCACGTAAGTACGTTTTCATTTAAAGGATTTGCCACTGATGATTCAAACGCGAGTTTTGGGCAGTGTGGATTAACGTTAGCACTTGTTGTTTGTCATTTCTCAGATCACAAATGCAGACATGGTTTTGTTTACGCGGCGCGATGCAACGCAATGCGTAAAAAGACAGTATAAGTCATTATAATCAGTAATTATGTATGCTGGATGCAACAAATGCCTCGTTTGTAATGGGTTTTCATGTTTTTGTCTCGTCGCTCCTGGACACAGCCTCATAGTATGGTGAGGGGCGTAACATTTCCGACTCGCGGTTGAGGTATTCGGCCAATCACAACGCATTGGATAGCTGGCCAATCAGAGCACACCTCGCTTTTTCAGACTGATGAGCTTTGTAAAAATCGACGCGTTTCAGAAGGCGGGGCATAGAGGAGAAACAATAATGTACAGTATGTGGAAAATAATGTGTCTTTTTAACTTTAAACCGCATAAACACATTTCATTACACCAAATACACCAAATAATGTTCTTTTTAGCAGCATCATATGACCCCTTTAAGTCGTTGTGGTGTTCACACTACGTGACTCAATGTAAATGATCCGCAACCGGGGGTTACACACAACTACACAAACAACTCTGTCACCCAACGACTCTACAAACCACGTTTTGTCACAAAAACACACGCGAGAATTGGAACGGGAATGACATGAAACAACACATGAAACAGGAGTTGTTTATTTGAAAATGGATGTCGGGAAGAAATTAGCGCTGCAAGCTGTTTGCTCGATGAAAAATGTTGCTCCATTTATTGTGTCCAAACTTTTCTTTAAGCCATGTTGCTGCTGTTGTTTTTCTTTGCCGGTGACCTCCCCTCACTCAGGTTTGGCGACGAGACCTGATATATCCAAACTCTAAGGCAGTCCACAGGTGTATGAAATCGGCTCCTAATGAAACGCAAGAAACACATGGCAAAAAACACTTCCGCCCCCTAGAGGACAGGCAAATCATTACAAACAGAAAAATAAAATAAATACTACATGAATATGTAACATCTTGGCTTATATCGAAATCCTCCAACATTTTTCTTTACAAATCCTTGTTTTATACTTCTAATACTTGACTGCTGTTTTGTTTTGCTTTATCCTCTGCGCTTCCACATTCGTCACTTCTCACCGGAGCTTATGCTACACCTACGCCATAAACTGAAACGGCACTTTCTCGTGAACACGCGTACGACAGTTAGCTGAAGCTAGAGATTACGGTTTATAAAGTTTTAAATATGGATACAATGTATTTTTCTTACACAAATACATTGCTTCACTCCAGAAAGCATTTATTAAAGGGATCCCTGGGTATTAAGACTTCTATGGCTTAATATAACGTAAATGATGTCTCTTCCTGAAATATGTAGTAGAAGACCCATTAAAGATTTATGTTATTTTAAAAATCACATCGTTTTATACATATTTTGGACTATGGGGGGCGCCATTATTCTGATGACGTAAAATGGTTGCACTCGGTGAGCTACTGCCGCTACCTGTTGCTAATTTTACCACAACCCAACTCGGAATAGACAACTCGGAAAATAAAATACTGTTATGATGACCACAGCTACTGAAAGAGCTTACAGGTGGAGATGGATAAGCATAGGCTTAAACCAAATGCTGTACCATCGATTTTTCCCCACATGGAGTCTAAACGCCCGGATCTCGAGGAAAATCTGCGCTGAGAAACTCCTCTAGCGGCCGCGCGTCATGATTAGCGTCGGCATGTTTACAGGATGACATAGCGTTTCTCAGCCGTTTGTAAGCTCTTTCAGTAGCTGTGGTCTACTAAAAGACTCAAAGGCATCAGGACTAAAGTGGAGTAAAAAAAGAAGCGGGTCTTTAGGAAGTTTTATTCGTCCACAGGCATCTTCCCATTCTTTTCTCCTCTTCTTGTGAAGTCTTGCATTGCTTCTCTTGTTGCCCTTCGACTGAAAATTACAACCAAAAGTCACACAATGTGATATCGTATCAGTATTTTATTTTCTGAGTTGTGTATTCTGAGTTGTGTTGCGGTAAAAAGCCAAAGACTAGAAATAAGCGCCAGTAGCTCACCGAGTGCAACCATTTGACGTCATCGACGCAGAATGTACTGTGCACATAAAATAATGGCGCCCCCCATAGTCCAAAAACCATGTCGATTTTTTTAAATAACATACATCTTTCATGGGGTTTCTACTATATATTTAAATAAGAGACATAATTTACGTTAAATTAAGCTATACATGTCTTAATACCCGGGAATCCCTTTAAGACATCTTGAAATCATAATTAAGACTTTCTTGTACAATTTAAGACTTTTTAAGGCCTTAAATTTGATCAAACTAAATTTAAGACTTTTTTAGACTTTTTAAGACCCCGAGGAAACCCTGTGAATGATCATTTAATGACTCGCACTTTGGTGTACACTACCTCCTCATAAAAGGCAGTGTGTGTTTAATTATATGTCAATTAGCACTGCATCATTCATAAATTTTATTTATTGTGTTTATTGTCTTAACATTTTAATTCATTCTGCTTTTTATACAGTTTAGCTGCAGATATAGCCTGGCACGTCTTAAGTTCTTTGAGCGCGAGATCAATTCTCTTTAGTGCGAAAACTTCTTTATCTCATTTTCATCAAATAAAATGCTATAGTATTTAACTTTTCCTCTCCATCGCGAATGATGATTCTGAAAGAAAACGCCCCCGGTGTCTGTTTGCTATAGCAACGAACACTACTTTCATGCATCTGATTATCAGATAAACCTCGCACTCTTATTTCAAGGTTGTTGTTAATGCTGTGGTTATTTTAACAGTTTCCTTCGTACACTCGACATTGTTAAAACACATTTATCATTCAATGGAACTGAGCGTATTCTTTAGACATTTCAATTTTTGCTCTGTCCATGCAATAAATGCGCAGCCTTCGACTGCTCAGGTAATGTCGTCGTCGGTATGACCGAGAGCCATTGAAAAAGTACTGAAAAGTAAAACTACTTCACTTTAGCATTACTAGCCACGAGCACTAAGGAGAGATCGATCACTCATCAGCTGCTCAAAAAATGTGTCAGTGAGACGAACGGAGCGCGAGCGCAATCCTGTGACAGTCACAGGCGGTAAATAGTGGAGTGCTTTAAGGAGAGATGCGAGGGCACGAACACTGTTCAAGGTCTCAATTAATTCCTGCTTGTAGTAATTTAATTTGTATGTATTTTGAAAGCATTGAATCGCTATAGAAATCGCGATTCATTCGATTCTTAGCATTTTAAATCGATTACTGTCCGAAAT